AGCTATTACAAACTGTGCCACTATAAACATAGGTGCACATATATTACTATGATATGATTCTTTTAATTCTTTTGGAAAGATATCCAGCAGAGGGATGGCTGGGTCAAATGGAACCTCTAATCCCAGCTCTTTGACGTATCTCCATATTGATTTCCACAGTGTTTGTACCAGTCTGCACTCCCACCAACAATGGAGAAGGGTTCCTTTCTCCCCAGAACTCTACCAACATTTATTATTGGTTGATTTCTGATAACAGCCATTCTTTCTGGGATGTGGTGGAATCTCAGTGTTGTTTTCATCTGCATCTCTCAAATGACCAGTGATGCTGAACACTTTTTCATATATTTACTTGCTGCTTTTACTTCTTTGTCTGAGAAATGTCTGTTCATTTCAGATGCCCATTTTTGAACTGTCTTTATATTTTTTTGGGGGGCTGACTGTTTTGAGTTCTTTATATATTCTAGATAATAGTCCTTTGTCTGAAGAGCAACTGGTAAAAATTTTTCCTACATTGTAGGTTGTCTTTTAGTTTTGTTGATGGTTTCTTTTGCAGTGCAGAAGCTTTTTAATAAGATGAGATCCCAGTTGTTGATTTTTTTCTGCTAGTTCCTGTGCTACTGAGGATTTGTTCATAAAGTCTTTTCCTATGCCAATGTCTTCAAGAGTTCTGCCTAACTTATCTTCCAGCAAGTTTAGTGTTTATGTTTTAATATTTAGATCTTTAATCCACTTGGATTTTAATTTAGTGCATGGTGAAAGATAAGGGTCTAGTTTTAATCTTTGGCAGGTTGAAATCCAGTTTTTCCAACACCATTTATTAAAGAGGCTATCTTTCCTCCAGTGAGGATGGTTGGCTCCTTTGTCAAAGATGATGTAGCTGAGTACATCTGGAGTTGTTTCTGTATCTTCCAATCTATTCCACTGATCCTCAGGTCTGTTTCTTTGCCAGTACCATGCTATTTTTATCACAGTGGCTTTGTAGTATAGTTTCAAATTGGGAATTGTTATACCCACTGCCGTGTGTCTGTTGCCTAGGATGGCTTTTGGTATTCTAGGTCTCTTATGGTCCAAGTGATAATCTTGAAAGCTATTGGCTGAAGAACAGACACAGCTCCCGCACTTGGAGACCAATGTAGGACAAAACATCCTCACTGGAAAAAAGACAGCCTCTTTAAGAAGTGGTGTTGGAAAAACTGGCTTTCTACATGCCAAATACTAAAACTAGACACATGGATTTCATTATGCACTAAACTAAAATTTAAAAGGATCAAAGATCTAAATATTAAAACTGAAACACTAAATTGGCAGGAAGCAAGAATAGGTAGAACTCTTGAAGACACAGGGGTAGGCAAAGTACTCATGAACAAAACCAAGACTGTATGGGAAATAATACAAGGAATTCACAATTGGGATCTCACCCTATTAAAAAAAACTTTTGTGCCACAAAAGAAATCACAGACAGAATTAAGAGGCAACCCATGGAGTGAGAAAAAAATTTTAACCCAGTAGTCCCTCAAAGGACCAATATCTAGAACATACAAAGAATTGAAAAAAATCAAACCCTCCCAAATTTAAAGACTTAATCCTAAAGTGGGCATCTGAAATGAATAGAAACTCAGATGAAGAAGTACAAATGGCAAATAAATCTGTGAAAAAATGTTCAACATTTCTGGTCATTTGAAAGATGCAAATTAAAACAATACAGTCATACCATCTCATGTCAGAAAGAATGGTTAATATCAAGAAATCAACCAACAACAAATGCTGGCAGGGATGTGGGGAAAAAGAACTCTTCTCCACTGTTGGTAGGAGTGCAGACTGGTGCAACCACTGTGGAAATCAGTATGGAGATTCCTCATAAAACTAGGATTGGAGGCCCCATTTGACCCTTCTATTCTCCTTCTGGATATCTCCCCAAAAGAATTAAAAGCATCATACTACAGAAATATGATACATGCACACCCATGTTTATAGTAACACAGTTTGTAATAGCTAAATCTTACAAACAACTAACATGCTCATCAACCAATGAATGGATAAAGAAAATGTAGCTTTTCTATACAATGGAGTATTACTCAGCCATAAAGAAGGATAGACTCAAGATGTTTATGCCTAAATGGATGCACTTGAGGCTATGCTCTTAAGTGAAGTAAATTGGACACACATGTGTAAATATCACGTTGTATCTCTGGTGTAAGAAACTGAAAGTGTAAATAGGGACAAAATGTTCAAAAGAAAGAAGGAAACAGAGAGAGGGAAGGGGGAAAGGAAGAAAGGAAAAAGAAAAATGAGAAAAGAAGGAAAAATGGAAACAGGCTTTTGTCGATAAGGAGGGGAAGAGGGATTGAATGGAGGAGAAGGGAATGGGGGGGAAGGAATCAAGATATATCATGTACAGGTACAGAATACCTATGAAGAATGTGACCATTGTGTATACCTAAATTGTACCAATACATTTTCTTTTAAAAGCCACCATGGAACCAAGTTTAAGGCAAAAGGCACAGAGAGTTGCAGGCCAAACAACTCAAGTTCCAGCCCCACAGCCAGAAACCAGTCTGACTTTCAGTGGAACTGGTGGTGCGAGCTTGCTGAAAATATCCACTACCCCACTGTACACTTACTGATGCTTGGCTGGGATTGATCAACACGGATCTGGGCTCCATCTGCCCACACTGTCTACAGTGACAGCAGAGAGTTGCCCTGAAATGTACATTCCTTTGGTCTTTCCTTTCTTTTTTTTTCCTTTGTTTTGTTTTTTTGAGACAGGGTCTTGCTTTGTAGCCCAGGCTGTCCTCTAACTCACAGTGATCCTCCTACCTCAGGTTCCTGAGTGCTAGGATGCACCACCATGCCTGGCGTGTCTTTTCTTGGTTTTATAAGGCTGTGACCATTTGTTTCTACTGTTTTGTTGTTGTTTTGCTCTGTTATTGTTTTTAGTTTTCTCTCTCTCTCTCTCTTCTGTTTTCTTCACCAGTTTCCCAAAGTATGAGCAATCTTCCATTGTCCTCCAGCCTTCTAATCTATTTCTCTTCTATTTCTCTATTTTTTCCTCTTAGCCACTTTAAAATTTTCTCCCCTGGAGACCATTTTCAGGGGATATTTACTGTATATAATTTTCTGGTTGGTTTTGGATTCTGTTATATAATCACAAATCTAGTTCATATGGTTAAAGGTGGAAAATTAATAGTTAACATAATTTGTCATTTCCTAGGATGTGTTTGACTATATTGTTATTACTGATTGTATTACTTCAATCAAGGTGACATAATTGTTCTAATCAGTTGTTCTAGATTGCCTAAGGGTCATAAACAATACTGTAGGCCAGTGCCATAGAACCAGGAGCTGGGCCAAGTAGGCAAAAACATCTATTTCCCAATACATTGAAGAGGTAGAATCTTGCAACAAACTCAGAACTCCAAAGAAGGCTGCTGTTGGAAGATATCTCTAAGCAGTCATTTCTTAAGTGTTGTAGATACTAAAAGTCAGCTACACCTGAAAAACATCTCAGAGAGCAAGCCATTTCTTAAGGGTTCTTTTCTTTACATTAAACATTTTAATTTTATTGGTACATTTAATGTATACAGCATAATAACATTCATTGTAGGAAATTTGTACCTTTACATAATCAGTCTTGGTTTTTATTTTTTTCCCTATTCCCCTGCCCTCCCTTCAACCTCTCCCTCCCTCTCTATCTACAAAGACTTTGTTTCCACTATTTTTCATTTTCTCATATTAATTCCACACCCTTCTTTCCTTTTCCCTACCCCTCCCCTTCTCCTTCCTCTTTGTCCCTTTCCTTCCTATTTCACATTATCTATTATACCTCTTAGTCTTTATTTACACTTTCAATTTCTCACACTAGAAAAACTATTTGGTATTTACACCTGTGTGCCCTACTTATATCACTTAAGAGTATCACCTCAATGTGCATCCATTTAGCTATAAATGTCTCTAGTTTCTCATCTTTATGGATGAGTAGTACTCCAATTTATATTTTAAAAAACCACATTGTCTTTATCCAGTCTCCTGTTGATAGGCAGTTGGGCTGCTTCCAAGTTTTAGCTATTACAAGTTGTACTGTTATAAACATGGATGCACATATATCTCTGTGGTATGATTCTTTTCATTCTTTGGGGAAGATACCCAGCAGGGGAAAATCTGGGTCCAATGGGACCTCTAATCCTATTTTTTGAGGTATCCCCATACTGGTTTCCACAGTGGTTGCACCAGTCCACACTCCCACCAGCAGTGGAGAAATGGGACCTCCAATCCTATTTTTTGAGGTATCCCCATACTGGTTTCCACAGTGGTTGCACCAGTCTACACTCCCACCAGCAGTGGAGCAGGGTTCCTCTTTCCCCATAGTCCCACCAGCATTTGTTATTGGTTGATTTCCCAATAGCAGCCATTCTTTCTGGGGTGAGGTGGAATCGTAGCATTGTTTTCATTTGAATCTATCAAATGACCTGTAGGTTGGATAACAAATACCCAAACACAATTACATAGAACTAATAATTTTTAGTGTTTGGTGGCACAATTAGGTAACTAATTCACACACATCTTTTTGTATATTTTATGAATAACTAGAAGAGAAGAATTCAAAGTCTCCAAATACAAAGTAATGGTGAAGAGATGAAGCATTAATTATCCTGATTAATGAGTACATATTGCACACATATATTGAAATATTATACTGTGTCTCATAAATATGTACAATTATTGCATGTCTATAAAATATTGAAAAATATATGAAGAGATAGAAATGTTAAGTACCTTAATTTGATACATTGTATGCATTATTGAATTATTGCACTGTGACTATAAATATATATAATTAAAATAATAATAAAAAGACACACATGGGCTCACTTAGACCCAAGTTAGCCCATGCATTTTAATAAATCAGAAGATAGATAAAATAATTTAAGCCAAGCAAAGAGATTTCTCACATCTTCTATTCATTACTAATTATAAGGTAACTGTTTTGATTGTTATCTTGGCCTCATGACCTTTATCCTCTTGGTCAGCCAGTGTTTGATAGAATTATTCCAGTGAAGTTAGATTGGTAGAATTAGCTCCCTGGATAGGCTTTTCTGCAGTATTTTTAGTTGCCAATAGTCTTCTCAGAAGGTGGTGCCATGGACTTTAATTTCTCAGAATTAAAAGGCTCAGTTGTTGTTATTGAGATTTCTTCGTGTTCATTGTCACCAAATGTTATCTCATCATTCAATCCTGGTGAAACAGGACTCCAATCACCTACATCAATTGTTATATGCTGTATGGGGTTCAAGGGAGGTAGTGGCCTTGGAGTGTCATCATATGACTTTCGTATGGGAATGCAGCATGATACCTTGTTCTTACAAAGAAGCTTATACCTTTCATTATCTAAACATCGTCTTCGGCAGTGGCCCATATTATCCCAGCATTTTGGTACATTCCAGGCAGCTGCAGGGAAAAAAGTAGGTTGAATTTTTAACTTTAACATCAGCATAACAACTTTTCATTAATTCAAAATCTTATAACTATTACCTGTGCCATATAGATTACTATGATGACAAATACTAAAAGTAACTGAGAGAGACAAAGTGGAAAATATAAAGAATGTATTAAAAATTGTGACATGTGTCCTCAAAGAAACTGGTGGCAGGGAGAGGAAAAGAGGAGAGGGAGGGAAGGAGGGGGAGAGATAGAGGGAGGGAGGGAGGGAGAAAATTAAAAACAGTATTGTGTGTGTGTTTGTGCACATACACGAGAGAGAGAGAGAGAGAGAGAGACCTAGACCTAATATTAAGCCTAGACAAGAAGGATGAAAATGAGTGAGCAAGGTAGCCAGAGGGAAAGATTATTTCAGGAAGGCGGCAGAAAGGCCCAGTCTCAGTGTAGAGGAAACTGTCTGTATATTTAAGACTTGCAAGGTTGACAAGACAGGTTTTGACTATAGATATAAATTTTGGAACCATTACTTATAGGTAAGCCATGGGAACAATATGAGAAAAATAGAGGAGTAGAATTAAATTTTGGTGAGTTTCAATATCAAGAGATAAAGTAGAAGGAAAAGACACAAAAAAAATAAAAACAAAGTAAAACAGGCCAGGCTGGTGGCACATACCTGTAATCTTAACTCTCTGGGAAGCTGAGGCATGAAGATTTCAAGTTTGAGCCCAGCCTGAGTAACTTCATGATTTATGAGACCTTGTCTTAAAATAAAAAATAAAAAAGGACTGAGGTCATAGCTCAGTGCAAAGGCCCTGGGTTCAACCTCCAGTCCAGAAAACAAACATTTCAGAACAAAACAGGAAAAATGTGATCCTAGAGTCTTAGTTTGGATTTCCTCAAAGGAGACCCAGAGCAATGATCTGTGTGTAACATTCTAATTGAAAGTCAGTTCCCCGCTCAAAAAACAATTCAGCAGGCAAGTCATGAATCAGGAAAAGGTGAGTTACCAAGGCAATTACCACTCTTGTTGACCAGAGCACCATGCCAAGGGGGAACTCTGGCAGCCAAGCTACAAAACAAGCCTAGGTATACTGTTTGGCGGTGTCAAAGCAACTAGGCCTAGAATTGACATGTGATCCCAGAGTGAGCCACAAGTTTCTCGGCATTTCTGGAATGACCTGTGCAGGATGTTTCACAAGCACCTGGCAAAGCAGCTGGGATACTGACACTTGTAAATTGGGCTGATGTGTATGCAAATGGCAAATGCCCAAAGAATACAAAGAAAGTTGTAACAGTTACCTTGAGATTAGGCAACAGGGGAGAATGCAACTCAAAGAAAGGAGTGGTCCTCTGTGGGAATTAGTATGGCGACACCTCAAAAAACTAGGATTAGAGTTCCCATTTGACCCAGCTATTTCCCTGGTGGGTATCTTTCCAAAAGAATTAAAAGAATCATACCACAGTGATATATGCACACCCTGTTTATAGCAGTACAGTTTGTAATAGCTAAATCTTGGAAACAGGCCAAATACTCATCAAAAGGTGACTGGATAAAGAAGATGTGTGTTTTTTCAAAAAAATTAAATGGAGTACTACTCAGCCAGAAAGAATGAGAGGCTAGAGTCATTTACAGCTAACTGGATGCACCTTGAGTCCATACTCTTAAGTGAAATAAATAGGATACACTTGTGTAAATACTGAATCGTTTCTCTGATGTGAGAAGCTGAAAATGTAAATGAGGACAAAATGTATAATAGATAATGTGAAGTTGGAGGAAAAGATCCAAAAGGGAAGGTGAAGAGGGTGGGGTAGGGGAAAGGGAAGAAGGGACGGGAAAAAATATGAGAAAAGGAAAAAACGAAACAAAGTGTTTGTAAATAGGGAGGGATGGAGGGGTTGAAGGGAGGACAGGGATTGGGGAAAAAATAAGAACCGACATATATCATCAAATTCCCAATGATGAATGTCATCATATCGTATACCTAAGATGTACTGATAAACTTAATGAATTTACAAAAAAAAGAAAGGAGTGGTCCTTAGTGGTCAATTCCACTTAGAGGCTGAGAAAGACAAAGGCCATGCACTGTTCATTGAATGTGGCGGTGTGAAGGTCGCCCTGAAGAGCAGCTGCAGAGTAGTAGGAAGAAAATGAACCAATTTGAAGTTGGAAGGTGAATGAGAGAAGTGGATGTAGCATCTGCACACAGAATCCTAAATGTAGCTGTGAAGAACAGCAGAGAATTAGAGAACTTGTTGGAGGACAATGCAGAGTCAAGGGGGGGCTTGCAGAATTTGTTTGGAAGAACAAGAAATACGAGAGCATGTTTGCAAGCAACTTAGAGAAGGAAGCAGGAAAGAAGAGATTAAAAGAGAATAGGGAGTGGGCTGGGGATTTAGCTCAGCGGTTCGGTGGCCTGCCTTGCAAGCGCAAGGACCGGAGTTAGATCCCCGGTACCAAAAAAACAAACAAACAAACAAACAAAAAACCCCAAAACAAAACAAAACAAAAAAAACAATAGAGAGGATTAAAATAGAATGGCCAAGTCCTTGATGAGGGGACGGGAACCATTTCATAAAAGGTAGACTGACTTTCAGTGCAAAGATACTTGCTTAGTTATGGGGGAGCAACAGACGGAGGGTGCAAAGGCTACTTGCACAAACGTTGACAGTGCTAAAATGAAAAGGTCCCTATTTTAATGTTTTTAAATCAATAAAGTGTAAGATGAAGTCATAAACCGGGGCTGTGGAGAAGAGAGTAGTAGGAGAATTAAGAACAAAGAAAAGTCAGTAAAAAATAGTCCTCAAGGAAAGCGGGGAATGTAGCTCATCGGGAAACGCAGTAGGACTTCTAAGCAGCGTGGGCATGCATTTGAAGGATGAGAATAGGAGCAGAAGTGACACGAGTGTGTCCCATGTGTGACCACTCATCAAGCAAACTGCACGATCGTCTTTCTCAAGTCAGCTGGCCCAGGGTGCTGAGGTGAATGTATTCCAGACAGAGGAAGAAGCCTGAGCATGGGGTTCCGCAGTGGAGGAAGCCTGGCATATATGTGGAAGAGAAAGTAATTTTCAAAAAAAATTCTTTGGATTCTGTGTGTATGTGTAGTATTGGAGATAGATCCCAGGACCTTGGCACTGAGTTACATCTCAGCCCAGCTTTTCTTTCTATTTTTCAAAATTCGAGGCTGAGTTTCTCCAAGTTGCTCAGGGTGGACTTGAACTTGTTATTCTTCTGCTTCAGCCTCCCAGAGTTCTGGGATTGCAGCTGTGTGGCACCACACCCGGTTTTTGTTTGGATTTAATGAGATAATTGTATGTAAAGCATCAGGAAAACTGCTATGTATTAAGCTCACTACTACTTGGTTCACATTCTTTCCCCTGGGAAACATTGGTCATAGTCCAACTTCTCCAAATATTGATCCTATCTTTGTTATTTTATTGTCTCCTATTTACTTTGCACTTCATAGAATTTTCTGTAAATTTAAAGACTAAGCCTATCACTTTTTAAAAATAATCCCAGACAAACTCTAACTTGGCTTCTTTGCTTCTACTTCTATGAAGATTGCATAGTTTTTTCTTCCAGAATGTGTGTAATTAAAAATCGGAATCATCTTTCTTCTTCACTTCCCCTGTTCTGTCAGTTCTTCTTCAAAATTATTTCTCATCTGCATTGCTTCTATGTGTTGTAAATTATTCCCCGCAAACCTACAGATTAGCCAGTAGCCACACAGTCATCAAATATCTGAGTCATTATTCGGGTGCAGAAGTTAATTGATGAAGTCAAAATACAAAATTACATGAAGCATACTTTCTAGCAAAGACAATAAAGAATAAATGCTTACTCTATGGCTCAAGTGAGTCTGGCAGCTTTGAGGAACACCATTAATGCTGTCCTGGCTGTAGTGCATTGAATAAGGACCACAATAACAGAAGATAGGGTGGGAGAGGTCATAGAGGTCGTAAAGGTCAGATCGGAAGGCCGAGTGAGATGGGGGCCATCACAGAGTTTGAGTTAGAAAAAGCACACTGTCTGGCTTCCAAGTGTACTATGTTGTATCGACAGTAGCTCTTTAATAGTTGAATCTCTTCAACAGTGTAGCACTGCTATGTAATGAGGACATGTGATCTTCATCATCAGCATCTCAAAGTCCAAATATTAGGAAATATTAATAGCAGTATAATGTATTTTCAGAGAGAGAGAAGTTAAAGTTAAGTTGCTTCATAAACTATCAGATATTATATCACCTAAAACACATAAAGCCCAGAATATAAAGGAATGAAGTTTCAAAACAGAATCTCCAAGAAAAACAAAATAAAACTATAAGTCAAGAATTAAAGCTAGCTCTTCAAAATCCAAGGGAAAACAGGTAGAAACAATGTATAAAAAATTAAAATGTATAGCAAATGATATTTGGAGTTTGATTTCTCCAGCACTCAAAGACATAAATGAAAATGAAATGATTGAATATAACCTTTCATTTGTAGGCTTTGCAAATATTTAGAAATTGGTAATACATTAAACAAATGGGGAAAATGCACTTCTAGAAATATAATGTTGAATGATTACATGTAAAAATGGTTATACTAGCCATGAAAGACAAAAAAAACAAAAACAAAAAAACTCCACCAGAAGACCTTTTAGATCTTGTAAAGAAATTCAGCAAAGTGGCAGGTTATGACATCAACACAAGAATCAATACTGTTCCTGTACAGTAATAATTAACCCACTGAGAATAAAATCAGGAAAATGATTCAAATCAAAGTAGTTTTGAAAAAATTAAATATCTAGGAAATTTCAGGATGACAGCTGTGTGGCAGGCCTACAGGGCAACCATTCTGGATTGCAGTAAGTCAGACCATTCCAGGAATTAAGAAAGTGAAACTGATATGATATATAATATATGGAAACATCTTGGGAGCAGATTAAGACAACTTAATGGGGATTTAGCTCGGTGGTGCCGCGCCTGCCTTGCAAGTACAAGGTCCTGAGTTTGATCCCCAGTATAAAAAAAGAAAAGAAATAGAAAAAGGAGAAAACTAAATATGTTTTCTCTTATATGAGAACACTAAAATGTAAATAAATAAATAAATGGCAAATGATAGGAAAGTAGAAAGTAGATTCTTGGAGATGGGGAAGGGAATCAGAGAGGACGGGGAAGAAAGGGAGAAGGAGGTGAAAAGATCAAAAATGAGTACGATGTGTTCTATCATTTCCTGATTCCCTGAAATTAATATCACTGTCCTGTATTGCAAACACATACTTAATATTAGCTATCCTTCCATTTAATACATAAATACATTTATTTCTGCAAAAATAATTTAATAATTATTTAATAAATAATTTACACAGCATCCATTTAGTGAAATTACACAGCATAAAATTTAGTGAAATTTAATGCAATAATTAAAATACAATATTTGGTAAATGGAAAAACACTAATAATGTGAATGGAAATTTATAAGCAGGGCACACTTTTTTTTTTTTTGTACTGGGGATCAACCTCAGGACCTTGGACTTGCAAGGCAGGTGTGGAACCATTGAGCTAAATCTCTGGCCCAGTCACATACTCTTATTCAAATGTAAATAGGAAACTGAAGGAGAGTAATGGAGCAAGAGTTTGTTTTTACTTTATTATAATTGAAGAACTCCAAAATTAAAACAAATAGCTCATAATCAGAAAGTAATATAAGTAAGAATTCTCCAACTCATGCATTACATCAACACATGAATAAGATATAAGAACATAAACACATTGGCTGGGCGTGGTGGCTCATGCCTGTAATCCTAGCACTTGGGAGGCTGAGGCAGGAGAATCACTATGAGTGCAGACCAGCCCGGGCTACATAGTGAGTTCCAGGTCAGTCTCAACTACATAGTGAGACCCTGTCTCAAAAAAACAAAACAAAAAAACAAAACAAAACAAAAAAAAGAACATAAACACATTTATAACCATCTCATAAAAATGAAAAGCTTCTTCCTAAGCAAATTATAAACACCTTCAAACTTAACAAGTTAGTTTTCTATTCTAATGGAATAGATGTTCAAACTTATTTACAATTAAAATGTCATGAATTCAATGAATTCAAGAAACACTATTTTGACATATCAGACTATGAAACTCAGAAGATAATAGCAAAAAATCTGATGTGTGTATGGCAAACTGACTGTCTTAAAACTGGTGATGGGAGCAAAAAGTAGTGTAGCCTGTCTGATGGGTAATTTGACAGCTCTCTGGTCCAGTTCTGAGTGGAAAGACATACTTTTTTTTTTTTACAAATTTTTCTTTCAGGATCATTTGTGATAATTGAATAATATATAATTATATTTTCTATAAGATAAAATTTTAAATATATATTTATATCTGCTAGGACATATAAAAAATTGGTAACATTGATTCTGAAGGGGAAACAGAAGATCTAGTATGCTTGTGTTGGGATAGTCATTCCCCTTTCCTTAAACTCATTGAATATTATTAATTTATAGATACACAAATGAGTTGCAAATATTATTTTTCAATAAAAGAGAGTTTTCAAAGATAGCGCTGTTATCAGGAAGTCAAAGGACTATAAAATTGGAAGCTCCTCATTGGTTATTTGCCTTTCCACCCAGTCATCTTCCCTTAACCACATTTCCCCATCTCAGACTTAAATGTCTTCTCTTCCACGTGATAGACCAGCAGAATATACAGTGTTGGTAGGCATGTCTACTGTATCTAAGAACATGAAAACGAAAGCCTCCTTTTGAAGAATTCAGAATGGTAGGAAAGTTGAACTAATGAAACGCAACAATGACGTAACTAAAACAGAAGACAAGCAAGGCCAAGATAACACACTGGATAATTGCATTGAGATACAGGTGGGGCATCTCAGAGCATTTAGAAGATTCTTGCCTTTTAGAGAAATGTCTCAAAGGACAGTCCAGCTTGCTAGATGGTCCTAACAGAAAGATTCTCAGAGAGTAGAGCACGGGGCTGCCAAAATAAGATCATATCTGCTGCTACTTATTGGTCCAAGACTTTTCATGTATGACTCTATTTTCCCCTTCATGACGCTGGAGACCCAGTGCAACAAATTAACCTAGTTCCATCATACCTAATTTATACAGTTCCATTACCTGTGGTCAACTGAGGCAGCAACCCACAGAAAATCAAGGTCACAATCAGGAAATTCATGGCTCCCATGAGAGAGGTAGCTCTGTGTCCTGAGGAATCCAGAACACTGCCTAGCTAGAACTCAAAATGATCATTTTTACTGGGCTATCATGGGTATTGAACCAGAATGGGAAGAATGCCATGCCACCAAGATCACCAGAGCATTCATTTGCATCACTGGATGTGCATGACACAGTAATGCCCTGTTTTACAAATGATTAGAGGAAATTGCGATGAGATATATCCTTGTAGAAGTATAGGGTTGTAAGTCTTCCTAACCCTAGATGGGGTCAATTGCTTTACCTTGATTTTCATGAAGCACCTTGTACATGCTCAGTAATATCAGAATGGTGTGTAAAAATATCACTGTGGAAGACCAGTAGCTTACAATGTCCAGTAGAGTATTTGTCTTTTCTTCTACCATATTTCCCTGAAAATAAGATTGGGTCTTAAATGCTTTTTCCTCCAAAAGATGCGATAGGGCTTATTTTCATGTACAACATGTACATTTATTCATGTACAAAATCTACATTTATTCAAATACAGTCATATCATCTTCTGGAAAATTGTCATAACCCTCCAGACCCTAAATTCTTTTTTTGGCATTAGTTTATGGGTACTTTTTAGGTATATAGTACAATTACATTCATCATTGGGATCTTTTACATGATGTATCTTGGCTCTTATTTTTTCCCTATACCCCTGCCCTCCCTTCACCCCCTCCACCCTTTCCTATTTATAAAGACATTGTTTCCATTTTTTCCTTTTCTCATATTTTTCTTTCCCTTTTTTCCTTTCCCCTACCCCTTCACTTCCCCAACTCCTTTAGCCCTTTTCTTCTGATTTCACATGATCAGTTATACAATTAGAACCTTATTTACACTTTTAGTTTTTCACACCAGTCAAACTATTTGTTATTTACATGCATATCCTATTTGTTTCACTTAAGGATATGGCCTCAATTTACATCCATTTAGCTATAAATGCCTCTAGTTTCTTGTTCTTTATGGCTGAGCAGTATTCCATTTTATAGAAAAACCACATTTTCTTTATCCAGTCTCCAATTGATGGGCATTTGGGCTATTTCTAAGTTTTAGCTATTACAAACTGTGCCACTATAAACATGGGCGTACCATATATCACTGTGGTATGATTCTTTTAATTCTTTTGGAAAGATACCCAGAAGAGGGATACCTGAATCAAATGGGACTTCTAATCCTAGTTTTTTTGGATATCTCAATATTGATCTCCACAGTGGTTGCACCAGTCTGCACTCTCACCAACAGTGGAAAAGGGCTCCTTTCTCCCCTCAGCCCCACCAACATTTGTTATTGGTTAATTCTTAATAGCAGCCATTCTTTCTGGGTTGAGGTAGAATCTCAGTGCTGTTTTCATCTGCATCTCTTGAATGACTAGTGACATTGAACATTTTTTCGTACATCTATTTGCTGCTTTTACTTCTTTGTCTGAGAAATGGCTGTTCATTTCAGATGCCCACTTTTGAATTGGGTCTTTAAATTTGGGGGTTCTGATTTTTTAAAGTTCTTTATATAGTCTAGATAGCAGTCCTTTGTCTGAGGAGCAGCTGGTAAAATTTTTCACCACACTGCAGGTTGTCTCTTAGCTCTGTTGGTGGTTTCTATTGTGGTGCAGAAGCCTTTTAATACAATGAGATCCCCATTGTTGATTCTTTGTGATAGTTCCTGTACTACTGAGGATCGTTCATAAAGTCTTCCTATGCCAATATCTTCAAGTTCTACCTAACTTATCTTCCAGCAAGTTTAGTGTTTCTGTTTTAATATTTAGATCTTTAATGCATTATTTTAGTTTAGTGCATGGTGAAAAATAGGGATCTAGTTTTAATCTTTGGCAAGTTGAAATTCAGTTTTTCCAACACATCTTTCCTCCACTGAGGATAGTTGGCCCCTCTGTCAAAAATGAGGTAACTAAGCACATCTAGAGTTGTTTCTGCATCTTCTAATCTATTCCACTGATCCTTGGGTCTGTTTCTTTGCCAGTACCATGCTGTTTTTATAGTTTCAAGTTGGGGATTGTGATACCGCTTGTCCATTAGCTAAATGGACAAATTTAGTTTGTTTGGTGCAACACACTGTTGACATATCAAATTATAAAATAATAATATTCATATATGATTAAATACAAATAAATAATATTATTGACATTAATACTTAAATGTTAATATAAATAAGTATTTGTAAATAGAATGCTTTTGTTGCCTAGAATGGCTTTTGCTATTTTAGGTCTCTTTTTGTTCCAAATGAATTTTTGGATTGTTTTCTCTAGTTCTGTGAAATATACTGTTGGGATTTCAGTTAGGATTACATTGAATCAGTACAGCAGTTTTGGAAGTATGGCCATTTTCACTATGTTGTCCAAACCCCAAAATCTGGCTAGAATTACTTGAGACTTCATTTCCTGTAGAACCATTGGCCCTAATCTCTCATGTCCAGCAATGGAGCTGTCCTTTACTGAGCCCTTTTGTCATGCAGCCTGTTAGTAGAGTATTGGTGACACAATTGTCAGTGATTTTCCCCATAAATCCTTCACCAAAGTCACAGCCTCTTCACAAAGTTTCCATTAAATCAAGTGTTAATTAAAGACTTATGAGACAGGAGTGGAACCAAAAATAATGACAGCTAAGAATGTCAGTCCACACAAAAGCAACAAAAAATTGCAGGCACCAAAATTCAGATGTTTCTTTATTTCATACAAGTGTATTAAGTGTGTCCATTATACCACATGATTGTTGAATTATGAAGATTTATATTAGACACAACCACATCCATTTGTTATCAAGTGTGTATGTTTTGTCCGTTTTCTGGTCAGTTGGCAATAAGTCTCATGTTCATCTGTTTATGTAGACACTTACCTCTCACTGAAATGTGACTGCTTGGATATTTACAAATACTTAACTTATTTATATTACCATTTAATTATTAATGTCGATAATATCATTTATTTATATTTAATTATATATGAATACTATTATTTTATAATTTGAAATGTTCACTGTGTGTTGCACCAAACACACTAAATTTGTCCATTTAGCTAATGAGCTTAACGGGGACTTAAGTTTTAGGTGGGCTTATATTACAAGCACCCTGAAAAATCATGCTGGGACTTATTTTTCATGTTAGGCCTTATTTAAGGGGAAATATGATAGGTGTTACCCCCAATACAAATCTCTGTGAGAAGACAATTTAAAAAAACGAACGTAAGATTTAACTGATTATGACAGAAGGTATTGAAGTGTGAGTGGAAACAGGTTATTGATGTTTTTTTTTCTTTAGTCCACCCTCTTACTAATTCTTTCTCTGCATTCAGAGATAAAAACCCCAACATATTGGTAGAGAATAAGTATCTTAAAAGTTAATAATCTAAAATTTTTCTTTTTAAAAAATTTTTAATAGATTAAAAAAATTACCCAGTGATATACCAATTTTAAGAAATTAGCCTTACCAATAAAGATACATGGAGTACGTATATTTACACCTCATGAAAGAGACTACAACAAAAACTATAAGAGACAAAGATCACTATACTATGATCAAAGGGTCAATTCAACAATAAGATATAATGATTGTAAATCTACATGCATTTAATGTCATATCGACCAGCTTTATCAGATAAACACTAGTGATCTAGAGGAAGAGACAGGCTCCTGTACAATAGATAGATCTACCTTGGCCCTCAGCTACTGGGAGGTAACCTTTGAGCCCTGGAATATCTTACCTAATGAGAGTATCTTTGTGTAGCTAGGGAACTTGGTACTTGCTTAATAGTCTATGTTAACAACATTATTGATGGTGAGATGCTTTGGGCCATTTCATATCAGATGGCCCCTAAAGAGACTTGAAACTAAGGTCAGTCATGTAAGTGGTCAACCATATTTATGTAACCAAGCTCCAACTAAAACTCTGGACACCAAGGCTTGGATGAGCTTCCCAGCTGGCAGTACTGTGCATATTATTACACACTATTGTTCTGGAATATAGGCACACACTGTATGGTTGCTTTAAGGGAGGGCCACAGGGAAGCTCCACTCCCTGTCATGTTCTGGACCTTACCCTAGTGTTTCTTTGTGCTGCTATATCTTTTTTCTGAATAAATTATTGCCATAAGTATAGTTGACTTTCCCAAGTTCTGTGTGTCCTACTAGTGAATTAACAAACCTGAGGGTGGTCTTGGGGATCCTTATATTTGATGTGGAAGTAAGAATGGTCTTGGGGACCTCTGAACTTGGGAGACACACGGGCCAATGAAAGAATGGAGAATCCAGAAATAAATTCCACAAGTACAGCCAACTGATTGATTTTTGGCAGAAGTACAAAAGCTATTCAATAAAAGAAGCATAGTCTTTTTCATAAATGGAACCAGAATACCTGGACATCCAAAATGAAGAGGGAAAAAACAGACTTCAATCTAAACATCATACCTTAAACAAATTAACTCAAAATGAGTAATGGATTAAATATAAAAACATACACTTTAAAAACAAAATATAAGAGATAATCATAAAGACTTAAAGCTTGGTAAAGAGTTCTTAGACATGACATGGTCCTTACAAGAAAAAAATCATTAAATTGTACTTTATCAAGATTTACAATTTTCTTTCTCTAATGAAAACCCTGTGAGAAAAATTAAAAGGAAAACTACATAATGAGAGAAATTATTTGCAAACCATATATCCATCAAAGAGCTCATATAAGTTAAAAGGTCTCAAAATTTAACAATTAAAAACAACTCATTTAGAAAATGGATAAAATACAAGAGACATTTAAGCAAAAAAAAAAAAAGATATAGGTGGAAAATAGATACATGGAAAGATGTTTAATTGCCAGCAATTAAGGAAATGCAAATTAATGAGATACCATTGTATTCTGAAACTTAAAATAGTGAGAAATAAAAACTTACACACACACACACACACACACAAAACTGCGTAAATATTCCATACCATGGCTTACTACTCAGCAGTGAAAGGTACAAACTGTTGATAGGCACATTAATCTTACAAGGTTGTATACTTTAAGACTTCACTTACACAATATTCTCAAAATTTTAAAAAATTATAGATATAGAAAACAAATTAGTTGTTTCCGAGAAGTTACAGATGGTGGAGAAGGAGGGGGTTGCATTTGACTATAACAACCAGTTTTGTGCCCATGAGAGAGTCAGTTGAGCTTTCTGATGATCAGTTTTCTATTCTATCGGAAGGTCTATATTAATTTCCTAGCATGAACATAAGACATTTGTATATCACCTTACAAACTTTTTTGCCATATCATTTATGCCCATAATATTATTTAAAATTTTTTCACAGAGACCAGCATAGTTATTACTTAAACCCAAATCAGCCCCAATCCTGAGTGATGTTATCTCAAAGTTGCCTGATCAAGGGGTAGTGATTTTTTTTCAAGTGAAGATTAACATAAGCATTAAAGCACACATTATATTGTGCCACCTAAGCATCACACATACTGTCAGGGACATGGACCACACACTTCAACTACACTGCTTTTCAGATGGAGAAAGTAATGTGCTATAAACAGAAATGAACTTTCAACATTGTAGGTTGTCTCTTAGTTCTGTTGATGGTTTCTTTTGCAGTGCAGAAGCTTTTTAATAAGATGAGATCCCAGTTGTTGATTCTTTCTGCTAGTTCCCGTGCTACTGAGGATTTGTTCATAAGGTCTTTTCCTACGCCAATGTCTTTAAGAGTTCTGCCTAACTTATCTTCCAGCAAGTTTAGTGTTTCTGTTTTAATATTCAGATCTTTAATCCACTTGGATTTTAATTTAGTGCATGGTGAAAGATACGGGTCTAGTTTTAATCTTTGGCAGGTGTATACCTAAAATGTACCAATAAACTCAATTAAAAAAAAGAGACCTAAAAAAAAAAGAAATAAACTTTCAAACTTGAAAAATCACTTAAATGTAGGTGACAATTCCTCATCCCATGCTGAATAAATTCCAAAGTAGGGCCCTGTAAGAGCTGACATAGGGTGGTTCTGCTTGCCTCTAGGATTTCAATTTCTGTTATTCATTGTCTCACTTACTCTGCTCTAAACACACCTGACTTCTTGCTCTTCTAAGGACACCTAGTGCTTTCCTGTCTTGGAAGATTTGCTCTTGTTGTTCTCAATGCCTGAATGACTCTAGGTATGCAGCTGGCTCAAGTCCTCAGTACATTCAGATTTTATTTAATGTCATTTTCTCATAGAGTCCTTCCTTTATTTGTCCTATTCAAAACACACACACACACACACACACAGAAAGAGAGAGAGAGAGGGAGAGAGTGAGAAACTTTTATATTTCTTTTTTATATACTTTACTTTTCTCCATAGCATTTATCACCACCTCACATTGGATATCTGTCCCTAAAGTGGCAGAACTTTGCTTCCTTCTCTTGAGCTAGTTCTTAGAATTGTGCTTGTGTGAAGACCTACATTCATCCAACTTAGCAATCCTCACTGGGGAATCTAAGCGAAGTTATCATATCATACAGACAAGTTTGCATTAGGACACAACCCCCAGGAAGTTAATCATTTTTCAGACGGTCCCACTCATCAGAGGTCTTTCTGATGAGTTTATATCTAAACCCCTGCAATTTCCATGCGGACCTTTTAGTTCTGTTCTATGTCTCTGTGCAAACTATTCCTTTCAGATGCTTGAAGACAGCAGCTCTGTTTCTTCAGCTCATACTGTTCTTCAGTCTAAACAGGCCTCTCCTTCCACCATCACTCGGGCGTAATCCTCTGGGGACAAGTAAGTACGGTCTGAATTCAGATCTCATTCCATAAGCCCTGCATAATCTTGAGCAAATCACTTCGGACCCTCAGGGGTCTGGTGAGAGTCCTAGGGGACTATGTCCATAAAGTGTTTAGCATAGTTGCTGATAGACTGGCAGATTCCGTGGATGGCATTCATGTCTACTGCTCTCCTGAAGAAGCTCCTGCCCAGATCCTAAGGGTGAAACAAATTTCCTAAATCTCATCATCTTGCTGCCTGCCTATAGGAAAAGAACAGTGTTTGGCCAATTCAAAGGTATAAAAGGACCATGAGGCCAGACCAGGAACCCCAACACAGAAAATCTAGTGACTTCACAGATATCTTTCTTAATAGAATTCCGGTAGTACCTACCTTCTTTGTTGGAAAACTCCCAGGAAATATTTTTGCTTTGGGGGGCTGGAGTCCACAAAGTTCCCAGAAATGGCGAATAGTAAGGATATGGAATAGGAAATTACAATAAAAGTACAAAGTTTAAAAAAAAGCTGCAAAGTATCATAACATACTTATATGCATGTATGAATATGCCAAAACAAAATCCACTATTATGTATAACTAAAATGCACTCTTAAAAGAGAAAAAGCTAAAAAGTATCTCTTGCATTACAAAGACTCTCTCCCTAGTCTGATTTTTTTTTGTGCTTATAATGTGACCCCACAGAATTCCCTTCTACTCTGTTGGTCTGCATTTCCTTAGCTGAGAAGTGCCAGTTCTAAGACAAATGAGGATACCATTGTCATACCACGACATACATATGATAATGTCTTCAATGTTTTTCAACATACGTTCACTGAATGCTCTAGACATATAGAAATGAGAGCCTGTGCGAACCTTCAGGGGTCTTACCATCTGTTGAAAGTTGTCCTTGAGGATATAAGCCAGGTGAGAGGATGAGCTAGGAAAAGAGCACTCAGGCATCACAAGCACTTGTGCAGAAAGAAAGAAGCACTGAGAACCACAGAAGAGAAGGCTAAAGTACCCATAAAGAGAGGCCTGAAAGGTTTCTTGGAGAGGCGATCTGCTCTATCCACAAAGCTACAGACTTGTGCAGGACATGTACCTCCTCCACCAATGCCTTCACCTTCCCAGAGGACATTTAGAGTAAGACCATGTACATGGGATGATCAGTTTACAGTGCTGATCTTCAGGCTGACATTCTAGGTGGTGGAACTCTTTGTCCTTATCTAATCGATTTTTCATGACTCAGCGCTACCTACCTCAATAAAACCCAGGGTGTTGATCCAGCTTCCTCAGCATGTTCAGCATGATGCTGCTGAATCCCTTCTCAACCATCTCAGGACACATTCAACTCTTGTTCCTGGTCTTAGCTGTCCTTGTGGTCCTGGATCAGACATCACCAGGTAACCAGAACTGTGGCAAGACAGAAAAAGGGAGTAAGATGGGCTCCTACCCAAAGAACCATGGCAAACTGAACGTGGATAGGATTAAGGATAACACACAGGGATGGCTGAGGTCTAGTGAAAGGCCTTACGATGAATGTAACCTTGGGGCTAGGCATTGTAGCTCAGGGTTAGAGCACTTGCCTACTAGGCTTGAGGCTCTCCATTTAATCCAGGACCTAAATTTTTTGAAAAATTAAAAAAGGGCTGGGGATTTAGCTCAGTGGTTCCACCGCCTGCATTGCAAGCATAAGGACCAGAGTTCAATCCTCAGTACCAAAAAAATTAAAAAAGAATATGCTTTGTTGGGGTAGCTTGTCACTCCCAACCACAAGTATGCTTCTGAGTAGGGGCCTGGAGTATACCAGCAGAAGCCAGGCTGTCTTATATGAAGTCCCTTTCATGTGTAGAAGCAAACTCCACATCTCTGTGTCCTTAATACCCATGACCCAAATATTAACAGTCTCATCCCACATCCACTTAATACTGTCTTTTGCAAAATTAGTCTCATCATTTCACCTCTCTATCGTTGTTTGGCTTTTAATGTTCCTTTAAAGCAAGCAGAGAAGACATCTTGCTCTTGTTTTAGAGTATGTGGTAAAAATGTGCAGGATATCTACAGGTTTATAAAAATAAATTCAAAATGTAGCAGCAGGAGATTGAAAATGGTCAGAGCTTTCTAGCAACATGGCAAGCTTCATGGCTGGGTGTTGAATGATTTTCTAGTGAAATCACTTTCCCCTAGGGTTTTATGGGGGCTCTGAAGTTTATGATTCCATGATTTTCTTTTTGGTCATTGCTGTTGGAGTCACATCCTGGATTTTTGTTTTTTGTTTTTTGTTTTTTTGTACCAGGGATCAAACTAGGATCCTTGTGCTTGCGATGCAGGCAGCGGAACCACTGAGCTAAATCTCCAGCCCTAGTCGCATCCTGTTTTGGATCAGTTCTGCAAGCTGAAAGTGTGCGCCTCAGTTACTCTAGAAGAAGAAAAAACTGTTATTCTGGACTTACTAGGAGTCGGTTTAAGCTTACCTTAAACTCTGAAGGGGGCAATTGGAATAGAAAATGGAGTTCCATGTGTGAGAGACATTTTAGAGAAAGAATCAGCATATTGGCTCATAGGATATTGGAGTGAGGAAGAATCATTATGAGTCTGATTTTTCCAGTCTGGTTAAGAAAGAGAGTGATAACTGTAAGTTACTTCCTATGAGAAAATCTGGGGAAAGGGTACAGGGAGCAAATCTATAATTGAAACAAAAATGCAATGATCTCTCAGGCGAACTCGGTGTGCAGGGAAAGCTGGGTCTCCCTGTCAGGGTTTAGCCCTAGGTAGAGCTGAGTCACAGACAAAAGACCACAGAAGAGCAGTGAGTTACACCAACCTTCAAAGCCAGCCTGTGAGTCAGCCCTACACATTTATTATTTAACACTCAGATTCACATGTATTTCCTGACATTCACATTTTCGGTGGCAAACACCTAGAACAGTGCCTATTTCATAATAGGTACTCAACAATTTGCTGCTTAAAGAATAATGAATGGGAAGGTGGATGAGGTGGCACACACCTGTGATCCCAGCACTAGGCAGGCTGAGGTAGTTGGAGACCAGCCTGGGCTGCATAGTGAGTTCATAGCAAGACCCTGTTTCAAAAAAACAAACAAAAGAGTATAATGAATGGAAAAGGGAAAACATAATGTAAGGCTTAGGCCCATCCCTTGACAAACACCCAGATTTAGAGAGGAAGTAGAATCAGAAAGAGTTAATGAGCCCGTGAAACATAACAAAGATGGAAACATCATAAACATAGGAATAAGATTCATTTAGAGCTGGCTGGAGGAAAGGAGATAACTCTTATATCTGTTACATGTCAAGACCAGAAGTAGGCATTCTGCATATACGGCTAGATAGCATTTCGAAGTACACTAGTAGGTGTCAAGATCAGTGTTCACTCTAACCATTATTACTGTTTTTACCAATATCTTCTGTATAATAGTAGATACTATTTCATAAATGTATATGCTTATCTATTTATTTTGATAGATGTATTCATCAAGAAGTGTAACTATGGAACAGGAAGATGCAGAAAGTATGCAGAGACAATGAGAAGAGGAAAGATAATTGTGGGAAATATTACGTTTGCTGCCTCAAGAAAGCAAACTTGGAACTATCACACTTTGCCAAAGAAAGCAAGCCAAGTGAGACTCTATTTATTTGAGACTTCTGGCTTTAGAAATTTAAAGTCATTATAATGAGTCAGTGGGATGGTTAAGTAGGGCAGCTGCATGATCTTTAGGTCCCCGTTGGCTCTTCACAGGATCCACTAAAGATATTCAGGGGCTGGGGGTGGGCAAATGAAAGTTAATTCCCGTGATCAATGTATCTCCCTAATTTTCTATTGCCCAACAGCGTTCTAGCTGTCCTAGGATATGACTGATAGTATCAGTGCTCACAGTAAAACAATTTTATAGGATCTGCATCTGGTGTTCCTGAGCCTCTGACCAAGTACTACACAAGGCTCCTGACTATAGAATTTTCCCGGTTAATGTAAATTGCACCTTAGCCACAGATTTTTATGTAATGTCTGATACTGGAGAGATGAGACAGTACAGCAGGATCCAGGTCTCTTCTTGCCTATTTATCTCATGGTTTAGCTGCAGCCTCTATCTTTTCTTTTTTTTTTTCTCCCCAGCCTCTTATGGTCCCTTGAAATTTATCTTTTACACCAAGTCTCTAATCGTACTTGGTAGTAAGGCAAGTATGCTTGCCCCAATCAAATGGGAGACAAAATAGCTTCTTGAAAACTCTCAGTATGTACTCAAACTTATTATTGTCAAGGTCTTGTCTTAAGCAGTTTACCTACATAAACACATTTTGTTTTAAGAGCTCCACAAGAACTACTATTATGTCCCTTTGCCAATAGAAGAAATGCCTCTTCCTTAAATTTATATGTTGAAGTCTAAACCTCCCATACTTCAGAGTGTGAGTAAAGAGAGGATCTTTAAATAGCTGCTATCAAGAAGTCAACCAATAACTAGTGCTGGAGGGGCTGTGGGGAGAAAGGAACCCTGCTCCACTGTTGGTGGGAGTATAGACTGGGGCAATCACTGTGGAGATCAGTGTGCAGATTCCTCAGAAAACTAAAACTAGAGGTTCCTTTTGACCCAGCTATACTTCTTGGTATCTTCCCAAAAGAATTAATAACATTATACCACAGCAATATAGGCACACCTATGTTCATAGTGGCAGTTTGTAATAGCTAAATCTTGGAATCAGATGCCCGCCAACTGATGAATGGATAAAGATGTGGGTTTTTTTTATACAGTGGAGTAGTACTCTACCATAAAGAAGGATAAGCTTCAGAAATCTCTAGCTAAATGGATGCACCTTGAGACTATATTCCAAGTGAAATAAATCAGTCCCACATGTTTAAATATCACATTGTTTCTCTAGTGTGAAAAACTAAAAGTGAAAATAGAAAACAATGGAAACAAAGCTTTTCTGTATAGGGAGAAGATAGGGGTTGGAGGGAAGGGATAAAATAAATTTTATTTTTAAAAAAGATAGGATCTTTAAAAGAGAAAATTAAGGTAAAATGAGGACACAAGGGCAGGCCTTATTCCATATAACTTGTGTTCCTATAAGAAGAGATTAGGATATAATTATTTTTCCAATTAATTATAATACACAGGTGCAAAACCATCGTGAGAGCCAGGAAGATTATGGCCACCTGCAAATCAAGGAGAGATGCCTGGGAAGAAGCTGACTTTTCTCATAGTTTGATCTTGGACTTTGAAAAGCCTCCAGAATTGTGGAAAAAATATATTCTGTTTAAACCATCAGTTTGTAGAACTTTGTTGTGACAGCACAGCAAACTAATACAAACATACTGTAACATTTGCATCCTAAATATTCTAAAATCTAAATCTGAGGGTTTTATTTTTCTTCTTAAACTCTTCCGAAGGTGTGAAACACAGGAATTGAACCTAAATTCCCTTTAGGATAATTCCCTGAACACCTCTGAAATCTTACCTACAATCTCTACTCCCTTTCATTTCCCATCATGGATTTCCCAGTTTGTATTATTGGGGAATTATTAATCTAATGTTTTGCCCTTATTTTCACAGGCAGCATCTTCTACTTGGAGGGTTGTTCTTGCAAACTAGCCCATCCAAGTCCCTCTGCGAGGGAAGGAACATTATCATGACAGAATATCAATTAATAATGCAATTACCTTGGAAAATTAATCTCCACCCAAGCATCTCATTACTTTATTACCTGTGTCTTTCCAAAATCCAGATGCTCAATGTCTTCACTGGACTCACAGTGAAAATTTTGAAAATGCACTGAAAATTATTGCAAAGTGACATTTGATCTAGCTCAATATTCAGGCTTATCTCTAGGTGCTGATAATAATTTTATAAAATGACACTAATCAGGGCTGGGGAATCTAGCTCAGTGGTTCTGTCACCTGCCTCACAAGCACAAGGGCCCAAGTTCAATCTCAGTACCTAAAAAAAAAAATGACACTAATCATACACAAAGCCGATGATAAATTAGAGTCAGTCAGGATTATACTATTTTAAAATAGCAGATAAAATTGACAAGAATCATAACATAATAGGTACATTAAAACATTGTTTGATTGGGCTGGGGATTTAGCTCAGTGGTTCCAGCACCTGCTTCACAAGCTCAAGGACCTGAGTTGGTCCCCAGTACCAAAAAATTGTTTGATTAAGAAAGTATAAGGAAAGCCCTGTTTGTATTGAAAAATATGGGGATTTAGAATACTTTTACAAATGACTATGATTTTCCAACCTAAAAGTGAAACCTAAGTATTTTGTGTCATGCTACTTTAGTTTGTTGGAAAGTTAAAAGCATACACACAAATGAACAATTCCATTCCTTATTAATTTTATTTATTTATTTGTTTGTTTTTGAGACACAATCTTGCTATATAGTTCAAATTGACCCTAAACTCATTATGTAGCCCAGGCTGGCCTTGAACTTGCAGTGCTCCTCCTGCCTCAGCCTCTCAAGTGCTGGGATTACAGGCAGGCACCACTGTGTCCTGCTTGTTTTATTATTTTAAAATAGTCACATGTACAGAAAGTACATGAATCACAAATGTAGAGTTCTATGTATTTTACAATTTCATACCACATAGTCAATAAAAAGACTATTACTAACAGTCTCAAGTTCCTCACATGTTTCATACACAGAAAGTAGCTTCATTGTTATATTTCCATGTATGCACACAGTGTAGACTGATCAAATCCAGTCCTCCTTCATCCCCAATCCCTCCCAAACTCTAATAATCACTATTCTACATTTGGATCGACTTAAAAAAAAAACTTCCACATATAAGATAGTGGTTATCTTTCTTTTTCCCATTAAGTTTTTTGGTATACTTTAGGTATACAATACAGTTATATTCATCTTGGTTCTTATTTTTTCTCCATACCACTGTCCTCCCTTCACCACTTCCAGCTTTCCCTATTTAGAAAGAGTTTGTTTCGATTTTTTCCTTTTATTTTTTCCTCATATTTTTTTCTTTCCCCTTTTTTCCTTTCCCCTTCCCCTCCCATTTCCCCTGCTCCTTTAGACTTTTCTTCCTATTCCACATTATCAATTTTACATTTTTATTATTTATATTTTTAGTTTATCACACCAAACTATTCAGTATTTACACAGGTGTGTCCTATTTATTTCACTTAAGAGTATACCTCAATGTGCATCCATTTAGATATAAATGTCTCTAGTTTCTCATTCTTTATGGCTGAGTAGTACTCCATTTTATTAAACACACACACACACACACACACACACACACACACACACGTTTTCTTTATCCAGTCTTCAGTTGTTGAGCAATTGGGCTATTTCCAAGTTTTAGCTATTAAAAACTGTGCCACTATAAACATGGGTGCACATATATTGCTGTGGTATTATTCTTCAAATTTTGGGGGAAAGTTATCCAGCAGAGAAATAGCTGGGTCAAATGGGACCTTTATCCTAGTTTTTTGAGGCAACTCCATATTGATTTACACAGTGATTGCTCCAGTCTGCCCTCCCAACAACAATGGAGAAGGGTTCCTTTCTTTCCACAGTCCCACTAGCATTTGTTATTGGTTAATTGCTTTTTTTTCATTGAATTTATTGGTTCTTTTTTAAGAATACAGTTACATTTATCATTGGAATCTCGTACCTCTACATGACAGATCTTGGTTCTCATTTTTCCCCCATACCCCTGCCCTCCCTTCACCCCCTCCACCCTCCATTACTTACAAAGACTTTGTTCCCAAATGCCCTCCCTACCCCCTCCACCCTCCATTACTTACAAAGACTTTGTTCCCATTTTTTCCTTTTGTCATATTTTTTCTTGTCTCTTATTTCCTTCCCCCTACCCTTCCCACTTCCCCTACACATTTAGCCCTTTTCTTCCCATTTCATGTTGTCAGTTATACAATTTGGATCTTATTTACACTTTTAGTTTTTCACACCAGAGAAACTATTTGGTATTTCCACATGTGTCTTATTTATTTCAATTAAGAGTATGGCCTCAATACGCATCCATTTTCCTTTGAATGACTCTAGTTTCTCATGCTTTGTGGCTGAGTAGTACTCCATTTTATAGAAAAACCACATCTTCTTTATCCAGTCTCCAACTGATAGGCAATTGGGTTGTTTCCAACTGGGTTCGATTCCTGATTACAAAAAAAAAAAAAAGTTTTGTATAGTTGGGGGCATTAGTATTTGGTGCATTTATATACATGATTGCTATTTCTTCCTCTTGTATTGTTCCCTTTACAAGGATGTGATGGCCTTATTTGTCTCTCTCAGTTATTTTTGGTTTGAAATCTACTCTGTCTGCAAATAAGATAGCTACCCCTGCTTTTTTCCAGGCTCCTGTCACATGGAGGACTGTTTTCCATTCTTTTACTCTCAGTCTATGAATTTCTTTGTGGATTAAGTGGGTTTCTTGTATACAGCATATTGTTGAATTTGGCTTCTTAATCCATTCTGCCAGACTGTTTCTTTTGATTGGTGAATTGAGGCCATTAACATTGATGGCTATAACTGTTGTATACTGACTTTTCATTGTCATGTTATTTTCCTGTTGTTTGTTCTTCATTTTTTATTTTTCCCTCTCTCCCTTTAATTTCTTGCCTTGCCTGGTACATTTGCTCTGTTGATCCTTATGGAGTTGTGGCCTTCATTTTCTTTTTTCAGGTTATCATTTAGAAGTGTTTGGAGTGCTGGTTTTGGTGTTCATGAAATTTCTTAGGTGTTCTTTGTCATGGAAGTGTCTTATTTCCCCATCCATTTTGAAAGATAGTTTCACAGTCTAGGTTAGAGGTTGTTTTGTTTTAGAACTTGAATTACCTCCCTACAATCTCTCCTTGACTTGAAAGTTTGTGTTGAAAAATCTGCTGTGATTCTGATGGGCTTTCCTTTGCATGTGATTTTTTTTTTCTTTTCTTTATCTGCTTGTAGTAATTTGTTCTTCTGTTTGGTTTCTTGGATCTTGATTATTATATGTCTAGGTGTAAATATTTTTTTGATCATGGCTAGTTGGAGTCCTCTATGCCTCACTTATCTGTATGTGAAATTCTTCCCCTCTGTTTGGGAATTTTTCGTCATTAACAGTTTTTTTTTTTTTTTTTTTTTTTTTTAAAATTTTTTTTTTTTTTTTTTTTTGTTTTTTTTTTTTTCCCTTAGATACCTATCATTCTTATATTCTTCTTCTTCTTTGCATCATCTAAGAGTTGTTGGATTGATTTCTCATGATCCCTTACTGTTTTTAAAAGATCTCTCTTTTCATGGTCACTGACCACAATCCTATATCTGAAATTCTATCTTCACATTCATTCATTTTTCTGTGAATATTTTTTATAGAGTTTTTAATCTCCTGGATATCTCTTTGAATCTGTTTCATGGATTCCATTCTTTCCTATGTTGGGCATTCAAGGTTTCCATTTCTTTCCTATGCTGGGCATTCATGGTTTCCATCATGGTCCTGAACTCATCTTTTTTAAAAAAAATCTGTTTCTGTTCTAGAATCTCCAAACATCTTTCATTATCACCATCTCTGTGATTATCTGAGAAATTATTTCTCTTTTGAATTTTTCTATTGCCTTATTTATCTGTTCTTTTTACTTCCTGTGCAATCAGTTCAGGGTGTTCAGATGGTTGACTGTCAGACTTTTCCCACCTCGTTTCCCCCAGAGTTCACCTTTGGTGAGATGGAAGTCTGTGTTTATCACTTGTTTAAATGTCTTCTCATTTCTATTTTTGTTGTTGGTACTGTCCTTTGTTTAATTCCTGGGTTAACACTTCAATCTTCCAGATGTAGCTGGTTTTTAGGTTTTGAGTCTCTAATGTCTCTAAGGCAATCTCATTTTCATTATACCAGGAAGGACAACTGATTAGATCAATCATAACACCTTAGCCCAAGTGATACAATCAGCAACACAATAGCATCAAGTACAGCTTAGAAAAATGACAATTAGTGGTAGTTATTAATCTATCACCTTTGTGTGAATTAAATAAAAATCTAGGACCAGCCCAAAATATGTTTATAGTGAATAACTCTTCAATATAGCAACTTTATCCTTCAGGATAGGGATTTAGAAGGAGTTGGGGAGAGAGGGATAGATAGAATAGGGAAAGGTTAGAAGTGAGGTAAGAGGACACAGGAAGATCACACAAACTCTAGGAAGCCTTTG